CCCATATATAAGAGACTGTAGGCTTTCTTGTAATAGTAATATTTATTTCTTTTCTTCCTCAGGAACACAATTAGACAGGCACTAATCTGGGAGGAGCAAGAACTTATATACAGAGAAGGCGGGGCTAATGGTAAGTACTAACCAATGGTAAGTGACACAATGACATCACACAATGACATATAAACAAGCACACATATTTACAGATATCAGGTTAGGTATTTTCATCTGTAACATGGGAGGACTGTAAACATGTCATTGGATGACTAATTGGGATATCACTGGCTGTGCACGGAATAGAAGAAAGTAACCTGAAGATAATACGGAATATATTTCTTTGTGAGCTCAACTTCAGTTACCATGTAATACCTTTACAATTCTGGTAAGGACTTGATTCTAACTATAATAAGAATCTATCTATTATCCCACCTTTACTGTTTTTACAAAGGACTCATGGCAACGAACATATCCACCACACCTTCCTATTTTCCCTATAACAACAACCCTGTGAGGCAGATTGGGCTGAGAGAAGAATGACTGGTCCAGAGTCACCCTGCTGCTGGCATTTATGGTTAAAGCGGGACTTGAACTCACAGTCTCCTGCTTTCTAGCCTGCTGCCTTAACCACTACACCAAACCTTTCCAGCACTTGAGACTGCCCAACATAATAGATCTTATTGGAAAAGAAATCAAAATTTGGGTTTAGGTTTAATTTACAGTATTATTCAAAAATGGAATGCTGTTGTGTATTACTTTTTTTGGAAATCATAGAAATGTAATTTTCTCTCCTTTTTTTCTCTCCTTTCCTTTTTAGGTTTTCAGTTTACATCTTGTTATATAAACTTAGTCATTTTCATTTAAATGAAATGCAGTTTAGCAGTTTTGTTTGCAACTGTTATGAGTTGTATCATCTTCATTACCATTTATATTGATATAAAAATTCAATATATTTCTTTAAAAACTTTGGGTAACCTTGCAAGGGAAACATGGGCACTAAACCTTATTTTGAGGGTCAAAGCATCCTTTAAACTCAAGTACTTCTTTCATGCAAGCCATCTGATTTTCTATGATGCATTAAAGTATTTTCTTTCCCAAAGGCAAGGCAGCCCATCTGTCTGTAACTTTGAACAAGCTGATAGGAGCAAATGGTGAGGAAAAACCACACCTATTGCCTGTGCTCTGTCTCAGAGCAACATGCCAGAATTTTTCTTGATCATTGCCTTGCAAAAAAGAAAGTCCTGCCAATGACCCAAAACACACATTCTGCAAAAAGGTGTGGCTGAAGTTTTCTGTTACAGATTACTAAACTCTAAAATGCATTCCAGAATATATTATTTCTTTTGGCCGTGATGCATTTGTTCTTTTATAAAACAGGATCTCAGGGCAAAAAACTACCAAGAGAGAAATCTGATTTTTGCACTCTTATACTGTGCAAGAACACAATATTGTATTAAGTAAATTATTGCTAGAGTTAAAGTCAAAATGACATTTTACCCTAGACTCCTTTGGTTGGTATCTGTTACAGTCTGACCTTGTGTATATAATTACTGTACTGAAAGACACATGAAGTTGTTCATAAGGTTGATATCACATATGTGTATATAAAGCTATATTACTTCCAATTTTCCTTTAATTCGATGACACTAAAGTTTTATTTATGTTTTCAACTGGAAGTCTAAACACATATCCAAACATTTGTTGGTTCAGTTTACTAACGAGTCAAAAACTCCTATTCTTTTTTTTAAAGACTTCATGCAAATCAGATAAAATACTGAAAATATGCAGAATGCATATAAATTCACAAATATACAAACCATACAAGAACTGTAGCTGTTATTTGATTCTTAAGACACATAGGAACTCTCTCAGTTATCAGTAATTGATACTTTAACCAGCAAAGACAAATCTCAGATTTTAGAGTTCAATGCAAAGACTGAGCACAGAAGTGTGGCTGTAACAAACTTACAAATAGTCCTCGACTTACGACCACAATTGAGTCTAAAATTTCTGTTGCTAAGTGAAACATTTGTTAAGTGAGTTTTGCCCCATTTTACGACCTTTTTTGCCACAAATGTTAAGTGAATCAATGCAGTTGTTAAGTAAGTAGCATGGTTGTTAAGTGAATCTGGATTTCCCATTGACTCTGCTTGGGAGGAAGTCGCCTAAAGGGAAATCACTTGACCCCCAGGACACTGCAACTGTCATAAATATGAGTCAGTTGCCAAGAGTCTGAATTTTGATCACATGACCATGGGGATGCTGCAACGATTGTAAGTGTGAAAAATGGTCATAAGTCACTTTTTTCAATGCCATTGTAACTTTATATATCATTAAAGGAACTGTTGTAAGTAGAGGACTGCCTGTATTTTATTTTTAAAAAGGCTTATGTTTAGGCAAACTCATGATCTTGCATAAGGTGGCTAGAAGGAACCATTAAAATGAATTATGCATATGCCATGCTGGCTGAGAATGATGGGAGACTGCTTTTAACCCCTAGTCCTTAAAACCTTTGCTTATTTCTTTCTATTAAAGAAGCAGAAAATTGGGCTAGAACAGAAGCTCTCAAACTGTGGGTTGAGATCTCCCAATGCGGTCATTAACAACTGGGTTGTGCGTGTGTGTATCTCTTACTTTTTTAAAAAAAGATCAGCTTTCCCCAGGCAGAATGGGGCATTATTTGAAACTGGTTCGTCCTTGCTCCTTACTTTGCCTGCATAAGCCCCAGTGGCCACTTAATGACACTGCAAAGCCTGAGAAGTCTTGTGATATAGATTAATATTTAATTCTTAGAAGTGTTATTCTTTTTTCTTGTCTGAACTTAAACCCAATGGGAATTTTTTTTATTCATTTGGGTTACAGAAAATTCATTTATGATTTCAGGGGGTTGCAAAGTTTCAAAGTTGCACGGTTAGAAGATTTCAATAATTTAATAGATCTATTGCACAGGCCAATGTTAATTGGCTAATAGTACATAGTACTTCTACTATGTTAAAATGCAGCTGGCTAATTGGTCGCTCAGTGTGTCGTATAAACCCAGTCAATATGGTTAACACATTGTTCAGTTAATTAAAGAAGACGCCCTGGATCGAGCCAAATGGAGACGGTTTTGCCGACATGCGAACCCTGCCATGGCATAATGGCAGGGAATAATGTTAGGAAAGAAAAAGATTTTTCAGTTAATTATGGACTAGCAGTTTGTGCAAATACAACCCTTGCCTTGCCTAGTGAAATATGCTGGACTAAACAGAAGCCAAGAATATTATCTACTATTACCAATATTCTGTCCTGTGGTTCAGTAGTAGCATGATAAAAGCAGGCTTCTCTGCATATTGAGCAGTTCCTTATATTAAAAGCTTGGCACAGCGAGGCAGCTGCCACATGGAACTAATTAAAGCATCAAGTATGTACAGTGTGGGTTTTGCTTGTAATACGTTTCACATAATAAATCTGTCCTTATCACAGATATGATGCCAGCAAATGGTGCTGTCCATACTGACAGTGCACAGGATACATTTAGGACACAGATGGGAGGGTTGCCCAGCTTTGTTGCCCTCCCCTCTTAGCGAATGTCAAATATCCATACTTATTTAAATGGCCACCTTAGATGTCACCTATGCCCCTGACAAAATGGTAAGTGAAGCATGTGAGATTATACTCATGCCGCAACCCAGGCTACTTGTTGACTCTTTAAAAGTGAAAGCACCACTTTAAAAGCTAAGAGTGACTTTTAAACTCCTTTAGGTAAAGTTTGGGATTGAGATTAAGAGAACGGCATGCTGAGTTGCCCAAAGAAAAAAGGCTTCCAAAACATATCCATGCTATATAAAGTGCAAGTGGGGAAATGCCCATCTTTACCACATTTTGTTTTATTTTGCATTTCAAATGGCAGGTTTTCTTTAGGCCAGTTACGGATTTTAACAAAGAAGGAAGGGCAAGGACAGGACTCCCTGCAACATTTCAGTATAAGCGCTCTGCTCCGTAAACCCTGCAAGGCTGCAATCTCTCCAAAATAAGCCTTCATCATCAGGCTTACCAGAAGGCTTGCCAGTATTATGTAAGGCACTGCCACATGTCAGTGGGTGTTGGGAGAGCTCCCTGCCAAAGAATCCCCTCCTCTCTAGTACGAATAAAACACGAAGCAGGACAGTCTCAAACATTTCTCCGAGACTACCGGTATGTTGCAAGCCTGAGCCCCAGAGGGCTTCTCGCTCTCCCTCCGCAGCGAGACCCGGGGAAAACCTGCTCGTATTCCAAGGATGACGCCTGATCCTCGCCCACGAGGGGGGAGAAAAAGGACATTTTCGTACTGCGCTGCAAAGCAGGAAGGGCTGTTTCTGGTTGGCGCTTGCAACCTCGTCCCATATCTGGAAGGGCCGCTTCGCTACTTAACTTCCCCCTCTTTCCCCCCCCCACACACTTCTATTAACAGCAGCAGCACGGAGGTCACTCGCAGGAAAGCTTTGTTCAGCGAATAAAGGCCCAAAGATCCCCTTCCATGCGGAAGATCACAACAACTCATCGCCACCCGTGTGGCTCCAGTGTTTGTTTTGATTCGCGGCAGCGTGGAAACCGAGGCAAAATTATTTGCGCGGCCTCTTTTCTAGGGCGCAGCAGCGGCTTTGGGGAGCTCCAAAGAGGAGCGGCCCGAAACCTGAGCTAGTAAAAAAAGGACAACAACCGCCAACTCGTGACAAGCGCTTTCCTAACTTTGCACACACATACCCTCCCCACGCCGAGGGTTCATTCGGCCGCTCGCTTTTGCAAAACAACTCCGAGCCGCTCTGCTGTCACTCACTCGGCGCCTGCTCTATATTTGCATAGTCAAACGCAAACCAACCCTCTCTCTCTCTCTCTCTCTCTCTCTTTTCCTCGTAAACTTTCTCCTGCAACTTGCTCCGCTTGGAGGGGGAGCAGGAGCCAGCAGAAAGGAGCAAAAGGAGAAGTCCGGAGCAAGCTACCTGCTGCAGGAGTCCACGGCACCGAAGAGCGGCCGCACAACCCAAATCCAAGCGCGGAAGGACGAGCTCACCTCAGCAGTCCAGACGGGTGGCAAAGACGCCGCCGCCGCCGCCGTCGTCGTCGTCAACCAGCCAAACCGAGCCAGCGCCAACTTCGCCTCTTGCGGTAGGATTCTGGGAAGGCGTCACTTCCTAGAAGTGGTAGATTCCGAAACCAGCTTTTTGCAAGTCGGTGCCACCTCCTCGCGGTGCCCGGTTCCTCTGTCTGTGTCGACCGGTCGCGTGAGAAGGTGCAGGACTTATTAAGCTGGTGGGTGGTGGTTATCGGGAAAAGGAAGGACGTTTTGGTATTGATAGCTCTTGGGATTCCTTGAGCCGAGTTCGGCATACCTGAAGCGCATTTTAGTCCTGAACAACGAGTCCAGCTTTGCGCCGGTCCTGTTATAACTTGAGGCTGGCAAGCGCCCCAGTCGAGCCGAGTTCCTTGGCACCTGAGACAGACAGTCCTACAAGCGCTGCCCTCCTTCCTTTCAGTTTTGATCAAGATAATTAATTTTAAAAGATTGCTGCCTTTCTGCAATTCAAATCCGGCTGAGTCATTTACTGTCTGTTGCCTAATGCGCTCTTCCTCACCCTGACAGCTCTCTAGGAGTGTTGGAGGTATCAGAGCCAGAAATTTAGGGGAGTTCTAGACCCAACATCTGGAAGGTGCCAGGTTGGGGAAATCTCATTTACAGAAGTGACATCAAGCGGAGTCTAATATTAGACCCCACTTGATGTCACTTCTGTAAATGAGATTTCCTATGCTTTAATTTGTTTTTGTGCTGGGTGTTCCTGACAGGATCCTGTATCCTTGCAGGCAAAGAGACAGAGAGACTGTAGATAAAGTGCATATATATTAGCCTAATGTGCTATGCAGATCAGCCATATAAGGTTAATTTACGGTTGGTTTGTTGTGTGAACCAAGAACATTTGGATGAGTTGATCATAAGTGTGTTGTGTGAATATAGCCAAGTAATTCTGCCTGCTATTCTGTATCTTTCCTCCCAGTTTTCAAAATGAGGGAGCCAGAATGACTATGGATAACCTGACATGTACTTTTATCCTTTCCTCTGGCTGTGTTCATACAACAACCCTTACTTAACTGAAACATTGCTTCTAGAATTAACAATGGGTTCACACATCATATCGTATAGTTTGTATAACTGATTTATTTAATAACAATTGATTAGGTTCATTAAATATTCACATCCAACCAATCATTTTGTCATAGCTAATACGACAGACATAGTTGTGGTTAACATGTGTATCCTGGGCAGTTTCTCTACCACCTTAACAGTTGAGTTTTCTCCTCCCTGAGCATATCTAGAATATTGTCTTCCTGCTTGGGCATCTATTTGCCTGCTGCCTTGTGTGAACCAACCTCTCTCTACAAAGTAATGGATGTGAATAGCAGAGGAGTATATGACTCCTTATCCATAGGAAGGGTCAGGAATAGGGCAATTGCTGTCTATAGTACTGAGCACAAAGGATTAGGATACAATAATAGCATGACATGAGTTTATGCTATCACTTTGTACAGCGTGCTATAATTTTGTGTGTAGGAGAATGCTCGAACATGTAATTGAGCTGTGTCCATTAACTGTTTCCCAACAGAGTTTAAATGTTGGCATAGTTGGCTTTTTTAGTGCCATTTTCTGGACTGGGTTAGTCTCAGTGGATATAACAGGTGACAGCTGTTCCATTTACATAGCAAGAGCAAAACTTTTTCCCAGCCCTCAGAGACTTCATTGGAGTATAGAGTTCCTTTCTAATCGAAAATAGGAATATTGTATACTCTTCTGCGAAGGCAGCTGCAGAAATTACTAGGTGCTTTACTATGATAAAATGCATTGTTCTGGTATATTTTACACATGGAAAAAGTCAATAAAAAAAGAAACTAGAGTAAGCAATAGCTGGATAGCACACTAGCTTGGAAGAACAGAAGCTTATAAAAATATATTGTAATTTTTTTTTCCCCAACATGGTAATCTGGCACTAGATCAGTGTTTGTCAACTGTGGCAACTTTAAGATATGTGAACTGGCTTGGGAATCCTGGGAGTTGAAGTCCACACATCTTAAAGTTGCCAGGGTTGAGAAACGGTGCTCTATATTACTTGGTCTTTGTGTCAGACAACGAAGATAAATGATCACAAATATCAAATTAGCTTGCCTGCGGCCAAAACTGCATAGCAAAAGACTACAAGTGGAATTATTGCCTTTATGTTCAGCACAATACAGTAATTGTGTACTCTGAACAGAATTCATGAGTATGCAGTGCAATTCTATCCATGTTGAATTAGAAGCTATCCTCACCAGATTTTATTCCTAAATTAATATGAAGACTCATTGCCTTAAAGAACCACTTATTGTGTTTGTGTTGTATTTTTCATAGTTGGTCTTCTGAAAGCTTTAGCTGTTCTAGAAGGGAATGAATTGTGCCTAATATATTGTGTCAATGTTTGTCTTAGTTTGATGTTAGGCTTTTTATGACATTTCATGTTTTCAAGATACAAATTTCTAGGAATTGTTTTTGTGTTTGGCAGGATAAATAGATCAGTAGTATTCAGCTGTGATAACTTCCATTCCATTGATGGTGGAACAGTGTATGTCAGATTAATACAATTTCAGCAGGCAAGGTTTAAAATGCATGCATACATTTTAAAAATGTTGACCCTAGTCAACATTGTTTTCGGGTAAGCCTTCTATAATGGGAATCCTGCTGTCCCAACCAATCTCCAGCGTAATGCCTCTTGGCCTCTATCATGAACAGCATGTGAAGAGCAGCTCTGTCAAGCTCTTAAGTCACAAGCAATACTGATATCCGAGTAGGCTTCACTGGACAAGACAGGAGAAAATGAGTGATTTACTACGTGTTTTGATCAGAAGTTTGAAAGTGTAACAAATGCTAATAAAAACCTAGCTTGACCAAACTCTGAAAATCCTAATTTCTTAAAATGCATGTAGATGCATCAGCATCTACATGAAGAATTTTGTGAAAATAATTACTACTTGGCCATCAGGAAAATACCACACACATAGATTAATAAGCAGACACATATACATGCTGAAATGTTGATGTTTATTTAAGTATAAGAAGAGACAAGAGAAGATTTGGTTACTTACTATCAATCATGTTGGTGACATGGACTCTTGCAGAGCTCTTTAGCTGTTGGCTTTTCATTCCTTACGTTTGTTCTTCTCACAACCCATATTAGGTTTTTTCTTTCTTTCATTGCTGCAGCTGTTGTTGCTATGCTGTCTATACTGTTGCTATGATTTGCAAGACTTCTGCATTTGCTAGATCATGGTTGTCTCTGATGAACAGTAATACCATTCATTCCCCTTGCAGTCTCCTCTCTCCAATTTCTAAATAAATGAGAACAGTTTAATAATAAGGAATAGTTTCTGGGACCTACGGTAATCTTTGGCTGTAGGAGTTTACCATTTTTATGAGGGGCAGGAATCTGGATGAATTTGGTAGCACCTTTCCAACCAATACACTGTATTAAAAAATGTAACCTATGCTCACAACATTTTATACTTTAATGTGTTGGAAATTGTATTACCAGACTCCTTCTGATTTAAGGCTACTAGACTAACACAGCTGTTCTCCTATAACATCTATAATAGGGGAAAATTATCCTAAATTATATCTACTCATATCTAAAAAGAAAAGATTGATTGATTGATTGATTGATTGATTGACTAGGTGCCATCAAGTCAGTGTTGATTCTTACTCAATATGTAGATAGATTTTCTCCAGGAGCATTATTCCCCAACCTGGCCCTTCAGGGTTTCCAGCAGTGTTGTAATTGAGTCAGTCTGCCTTGAGGTTGGTTATCCTGTTCTCTTTTTCAGCATTATGAAATTCTCCAGGTCTTCACATAATACATCCAGAGTATGATAATTAAAAAAGAATCTACATGCTTTTGTGATAATTTGGAATGAAAATTAAAATACCTGTAAACTAAGACCAGTTGGACTTAATTAATATTTTATGGGAGACCACAAGGAAAGCCAAGCTGCTGAAAACAGATCCAAAAATCCCTGAAGAAGGCAATGGCAAGCGACACTGTTTTCAAGAAAACTGCACAAATTATGTCTTTGCAATCAGACTTAACTTAGCTGGATATGGGCAAAAGTAAGTCAGCAGCACTCTTATCTACAATACGCCATATTGCTGCTTGTCAGACCTTCAAAGTAAACCAGACTAGGAAACCAAAGTTATGAATGCTAATATCAGTTTTATTGTAAGATTACAATAAAAGAAATTTGAAAATCTAAAGATGCTTTCTCCCATCCCTTTACTTTTATGAGAACTAGAAAGGGGTCAGGTTTGAGACACTCTTCTCAAATTACATTTCTGCCTCAGACTCAAATCTCTGTTATCAAATCAGTTTCTTGGATGCAGCTCTTCTTTTCTTCCTCAGTCATCCCTACTATCCATTACACGGCCTTGTTCACACTGCCCACTTACAGTGATTAACTGAATTGTGCTTTTTTCTGTTCCTGAGTTCATGTGACATTCACCTGTAAATTAATTGCATGGATTTGGTTAGCCTAAAACACATAGAATAAAATGTGATTGGCTGTTTTATAGATTACATTAAATCTGACTGAAGAGTTAACCAGTGAAGAAAGTGAATATTTGTTTAGAACTAGTATATTTGCTTGGAATAGTTTTCATTTATATCCTGTTTAACATTAACATGCAAAACAGCTTAAATACACACAGTCATACCTATTCTCAAATAAGCATACTGACTCATTTAAAAAGGTTGATTTTGTGGCACCAAATGACAGATTTTGAAAGCTTGCATTTTATTTTATTATTATTTTATTTTTGAGTCTGCCTAATAATTATAGCATTTCTGTAAAGTGAATACTGTTTTTTTTTCCTTCTGGGCAGCACAACTTACATGGCATGCCTGAATAATAAAGAAATTGTCCAAATTCACCATTTAACCTGATGGAAAATAATCTATCATTATACTTTTCTACTCCACAGAACTTTTTAAAATCAGCAAGAATTTCAGGTTAAAGAGCACATAGTTGGATGTGCCCCTATTTTCTTTTTCTTTTCCACACAGCAGTGGCCAATTTTTTTTGGATGCTGAATCCCAGTAAATCAGTGTTTTTCATCCTTGGCAATTTAAAGATGCATGGCTTTCAGCTTCCAGAGTTTCCCATCCAGCAGGGGAATCTAGATCTGATCTAATTTAATGGGACTTAATGAATCGCATGTGATAAGATTTCATATTTAAAAAGCTTCAATAATAAAAAAGTAATCCTGAACTATAGCAGAAGACTGAAGTTCTGGACTTATATATCCAGGACCCTTTCTTTCTAATAAATATGCATACAGGTAGTCCTTGACTTATGACCACAATGGAACCCAAAATTTATGTTGCTAAGCGAGACATATGAAGTGAATTTTGCCCCCTTTTACAACCTTTCGTGCCACAATTGTTAAGTGAGTCACTGCAGTTGTTATGTTAGTAACACAATTATTAAGTGAATTTGGATTCCATATTGACTTTGTCTGTTAGAAGATTGCAAAAGGTGATCACATGACCCCAGGACATTGCAACCGTCATAAATATGAGTCAGTTGCCAAGCATCCGAAGTTTGATCACGTTACTATGGAGATGCTGCAATAGTCGTAAGTGTGAAAAACAGCCATAACTCACTTTTTTCAATGCAGTTGTAACTTTGAACAGTCACTAAAGGAACTACTAACTGTAAAACTAAGCTAAAATGCCCCTTTTCCGTTGCCCTTTTAAGTGGCTTTGAGTAGTCTTTCATTGCCCTTTTAAGAGGAGGCTCGGGCAAACAGAGGCCCTTTGAGCTTTTGTTTTTTTGCTCTTGTGACTTCTTCTCTGATCCAGAATCATAGGTGGTTGGAGACTCGGATCTCAGGTGAGTAAATCTGGGTTTAGTCCAGATGAAAAAGTGAGATGAGAGAAGCTCTTTGAATCTGCTTCAGAGCACAGACTTCTTAATAGTTCAGTGAACCTTTATATTTCGCAGGGCATTGATTGCTAATGGATTATGCAGTTAAATAAAATTTACTTTGCGCTAATGTGAATTGGATAATGACAATTCCCATTCACCCCAAAATCCCATAACTGTCTAATAGGTGTGAACAGTATGAATTACATTGCCCACTGTGCCCAATGACTTGCTGTATAATGATGAGAAAAATGTCCATGTTTTCTCCTATCAGGAAGTTCTCAAAAGAAGAGAAACTACTAGACTTAAAGTGAAACAAGGCAAAGAACTGTCTTGTGAAGACTACTTAAAGTATCCATCTTTCAGGAACTTGCAGCCCAATAAGAAGGACAAAGCCTGCATAAAACTAACATTTGTAAGAATATGTAGGGAGTTACCTATTGCACTTTTTAAAAAGAGGAAACTTTATAATGTTTGATATAAGATGTGTCTCATGTATTGTAATGCTATCTATAAAGTTTCTGAATAGCACCTGTCCTTTCCCAGGATTCAGTAACACACCCATCGCATCCCAGCACTATCCTCCAACTCTCCAGAACTTAAGTGGAAAGTTTTCACCAGAAAATAAAGACCATTTGTTTTTCTGGGATTTTCTAAACTTGGGGGCATTTTTTGCTTGCTTGCTTGGTTGCTTACTTGCTTGCTTTCAATATTAAAGAGTTGTGATCTGTAAACTATATGTAACTGTGTTGTCTTAAGTCTGTATAGAAAAATGTTTGATGATGTAGTTTTTCATGTTGATTCGGAATATAGAGACAATCACATCTGCAAACGTGGATGTTTTTGTTTTTAATTAAGATTTTTAAAAACAATAATAAAAGATAGTACAAGATAGAAAAACAAAACACTAAAAAGCAAATAAAATCCCCCTTTAAGAAAGTAATCATCACAAGTATCAACAATTTCACAATCTGTCTGGAGATTCTCAGTCATCCAGGTTGTGGTTGTCCCAAAAGTTCTTTTTTCAACAGGCAACTGGACTTTCTTGTTATTCTTTGAACACATTTTGCTTTTCATCCAAGAAGCTTCTTCAGCTCCAACCAGATGGTGGGGAATGGAAGAATTTATATTCCTTGCAGACAGCTGGTCATTGGCATTCTTTTAGAGTCACTTGGAGATTTATTTGTGTCCTCTGTCACCTGAGTAGTGCAAATGGTTGTGGAGGTAGATTACGTCTATCCCTCCCCCTCTGTTGAGAGAGGGTTGTTCAATTTTGACACAAATGGACAAAGAGAAACAAGAAAGTCCAGTTGCCTTTTGAAAAAAAGCACCTTTGGGACAATTTCATAATCTCTTCACCCCTCTTAGTTAACAAATATAAAACATTTCATCCCATAACCCATTTCTTAGTAATAAACAAATCAAATATTCTCTTTATCCAATTGTCAGCAAAAAGTCCAAACAGAGCTCTAAAATATTAACACTAAATATAAAAACTAGACTCTCCGCATCTCAACTTTTAGCTACAGGCAAAAACTATAAAAAGGTCCTAATTTTCTACTATAAACAAACCAAAGCAGATTTAACATTTTGATGTCCTTTTCTCCTAAAAAAAGAGTACATAGTCCATTCGAAATGCTAACCATTCTAGAAATAAGTGCTCCAAATAGGAATGAATTCCATTCAATTTTTTTTTTTAAGTATAGCTGTTATTTGTGAATTTGATATTGTGTGGCATGTTTTCTGAAGACACTAATCAGCCTTTACCTGATCTCTACCACAAAATGATTGGGAAATTGCAATCATATGCATATTTATAATAGTATCCACCATTGGCTTTTAATATAAAATGCATCAGATTTTAGGTTTATGTTGACTGATATAAATTTTGTCGTTAAAGCGTTTTCTTGATCAACAAAAGAATGTTGAAAATAAATTGTGTAAAGGAACGCGTAACTCGTTGTTGATTAGTAGGGTAGAAAATTGAACAGAATGGGACAATATTTGGTGTAAGCTGGTGGAAGATATCTCAGTTTTAAAGATAGACCAGATCAGGTCAGGGGCTGCAGAGGAAAAAAAATCAGCAAAATTTATCATCTCATTTGGTAATCCATGAGAAAACCCACCATGCCATTATATGTGTTCAATCACACTCTGAAACTGATCGATCTATCTGAATTGAAAACTGAAATTCAGTTCTCAAAAATGAACTAAAAAGAACTGTGAACACTTGGGAAATGATTTTGTATGGTAAATGATGTAAACATTTGCTGAAGCTGCTTGCTCCCTATCAAAAACTCAGATTGTTACCCAGTATTGTCACAAAGTTTATTTTATTTATTAATTCAATTTATATGCCGACTTTCTGCGGAGACTCAGTTCTCAATATGATAGAACTTACTGCATATTTGACTGTCTTATTTATTAAAAAGAAAACACCATTAGAAATTGCATGCATGCTGTTACCCAATATGTTCCCCACATCCTATACCTTTGATTTTTCCTACCCATATGTAGGACTTTTCATTTCTGCTTACTGAAATTGAAAATTGAAAATTCTGCTTGCTGTGTTTTGCAAGATCGGCTTATGGAAGTCTGATATGCAACTTTGACAATGTCAGTTAAATTTATTTCCATACAGAGTTATCCAGGTTAAAATGCTTTCAAAAACTGAGGCAGTTTAGGATGGGCTTGTTGACCTGGAAGATTACATATGTGTAGCCATATTTTATGGTAGCCTTTGTCTATTTCTTCTTAGTTTTCCTTAGGGCTTCCATTGCAAAAACAATCTCCGGGACAATTTGGCAAAAAACTAATATAGACTGTATTTTTAGCATGAACTTTTGCTTGTCTAGTTCTTAGTGAGCCATTTTAGCACTTCTAGCTATTTCTCCCTTCTACATTCTGTGCTTTGCCAATCTGTTCTCTACCTTCTGTATCTGTGAACTTGTTTCCTTTCAACAAAGCACGTTCTAAAGACTGTGAAGAAACACTCTTCTCCACTATTTCCTGACAAATGCTCCAAGGCTTGCTTTATTGTTTGTATTTTTATGGATGGGTGGTACATAACTAATAACTCAATCTGCCCTCCTCATACATACATTCCTCTAATTTCATTATTATTACCCTAAATAAAGATACATAGCTTTTCATAAGCCAAGGAACACATTTGCTGGAAACAGCTCTCCCCAAAGGAGAATGTGAGGAGAACAAGGGGAATAAATATGTGGCAAAAGCCTTCAGAAAATACACAGGGCTCTTAGTTATACAGGTCTATTGTAAAACCAAAACCATATCCTTGTGTTTAATCATTTGTTAGATTTTTAAACTGCTTACTGGCAATTGCCCTCTAGGTGGTGTTAAACATTGCCCCCTTTTTTTTTTTTTTTACAGGGAATCTGATTTTCAACTGTGCCAGATATTTGCTGGAGGGCTGATGATCATTCAAAGAGTGGTATTGCATTCACGCCCTGGTATGTTTCTACTTGTTGGAGAACATATTTGAGTTTTGTGTCTATGTAGAACATTGTAAACGGGAAGAGAAAAGAAATCCAAGAGGGCAATTTCTGATGTGCACATCCAAAGCTTGTTATGCAAGTCTTCAACAAGACTTTCTTAGCAGACATTTTCTAATTACAGATGCGTTGGTGAGAATTTTTCAGTTTGTGCAAGAGCAAAAATGTATTAACAAATAACCTAAATAAGATTACTGCTGTTTTTGAAGTATGAAATGTGGAGAGTGCGGTAAACAATTTTGTATGTTCTATGTATTCATGATTTCTAACAGTACTATAAGCAATATTTATTGTGATTAATATATTCTTAACTTTGAAGGTTATTGTATTTGTGCATTTCCTTCTGGCCTCTTGTTAATTTATATTTCACGAGATTTATAAAGCAGCTGGCCATTCTTGCACTAAAACTGGTGGTATATCTTTCCAGTTTTCTTTACATTAAAATTGCTGTGCGTCACAAACTACTTTGTTAGGAATGAGGATTTTTAGATGCATACGTCATGTTGAAAATCAGTATGGCCAAAAGGAAGAAAGGCTAGGGAGGAGAAGTACAAATAGAATTTGTAAATATCAGAATGGTGGCTGACCCAAGATATATAGCGTCAATGAAGAAACACATGCTTTTGTAAGGAACGTGAGTCCTCTAAAGTCAGATATGATTGTTCAGAAATGCTAATTTAACTCCCATAATCTCAAGAGGAAGGAGAAACCAAGCTGTTAAACCTGTGATCTGACTCATTCTAGGCATCAATGGAGTGCCAGTTGCAGAAAACTTCCGTATGGAAGAAGCCACCCTCTCAGACAAAATTGATGAAGGTCAAGTTAAAGTCTGTACACTTTATTTGTCTGTGGATCCTTACATGGTAAGTGGGTTTAATAAAAAATATCTGAATATTTGAAGAATATTTGGCCAGTTGATTCTTCATATAATCTGCCAGTCATGAGTCACTGTAAATAGTGATTTATGACTTTAGTGGAGGGGAATATTTTGCTTTGCATAAATGTCCATGACCACAATTATAGCACACGTAACACACATACTGCGCAAGGTATTTGGCAAGTACCTGATCTTTTGGTTTCTTCCTTCCAAGCAGATTGCTAATCTCAATATGGAAAGTATTGCAGCGTCTACAAATGAAGCCGATATAACTGGGAGAAAGAATCATAAAATGATCTCTGAATATATGTAACCCTATGCCATACATTAATTTTGTTCTAAAAAAGTGTACAGACATGAGCCACGATAGCGCAGTGGTTAGAATGTAGTATTGCAGGCTACTTCTGCTGACTGCTGGCTGCCTACAATTTGGCAGTTCAAATCTCACCAGGCTCAAGGTTGACTCAGTCTGCCATCCTTCCAAGGTCGGTAAAATGACGACCCAGATTGTTGGGGGCAATATGCTGACTCTGTAAACTGCTTAGTAGTTATTGTTAGTTGCGAAGTTGTGTCCGACCCATCACAACCCCATGGACAACGTTCCTCCAGGCCTTCCTGTCCTCTACCATCCTCTGGAGTCCATTTAAGCTCATGCCTACTGTATCAGTGACTCCATCCAGCCATCTCATTCTCTGTTGTCCCATTCTTCTTTTGCCCTCTATTTTTCCCAGCATTAGGCTCTTCTCCAGTGACAGTAAAGCACTGTAAAGTGGTATATGCATCTAAGGCAGGGGTCCTCAAACTTTTTAAACAAGGGGGCAATTCAGGGTCCCTCAGACTGTTGGGGGGCCGGATCGGCTGGGAGGGCGTGGCTAGGTGGGCATGTGACTAGGTGGGCATGGCTAGGTCATGTAACTGGGTGGGTGTGGCCAATTTAACAGTCCATTGAACAATGCACACAAATTAAACTTTAATTTGTTTTGCTCCTGGGGGTGTTTTATTTGCTTTTGTTTGCATGTTGCTCTTTTGGTTGCCTTTTCTTTTTATTAGATTGTTTTTTCAGTTGTTTAGGAGTCTAGTGGTCCACTTCAGGAAACTCAGTTTTGCTGCAATTCTTCTCAGCCCTAAGGAGCTTGAGAAATCTCTCTCTGTCTCTCTCTCTTTTATTCTTTCGCTCCCTCTCTTTTTTTTTCTCTCTCCCCTCTTTCTCTCTCTTTCATTGTTTCTCTCTCTTTCTCTCTTTCTTTCTCTCTCTCTCTCTGTCTGTCTCTCTCCTTCTCTCTCCCTCTCCCTCTCTCTTTCTGTCTCTGTCTCTTTCTTTGTCTCTCTCCCTCTCTCTTTCTCTCTCTCTCCTTCTCTCTCTCTGTCTGTCTTTCTTTGTCTCTTTCCCTCTCTCTCTCCCTCTCTCTTTCCTTCTCTCTCTCTCCCTCTCCCTTTCTCTCTCTCTCCTTCTCTCTCCCTCTCTCTCTTTGTCTCTCTCTCCCCCCTTTCTCTCTCTTTCATTCTCTTTCTTTCTTTCTTTTTTCTTTCTTTCTCTATTTCTCTCTCCCTCTCTTTTGCTTTCCCTCTCTTTCCTTCTTTCCCTCCCTCTCTCTCTCTCTCTCTCTCTCCCTCTTTTTCTCTCTCTCTCTTTCTGTCTGTCTGTCTCTATTTATCTTATGGAGGCGGGAAAGATGATAAATGGACCATTTTGCCTGTTTTTTTGCCTTTTCAAACCTCCCCCCCACCCCCAAGCATTCTGCAGGCTAAAATTGTTGAGCTTACCTTTTGGTTCCAGCCCACAGGTCTCCCAAAGGCAAGTCCTGCGCTCTGCTGAAGGAGGGTGGAGTGATGTGGGTGGGGCAACCTCGTAGTGCTCTGCAGGCTGGATTAATTGCTTCAGTGGGCCGCATGTGGCCGTAGTTTGAGGACCCATGGTCTAAGGGCTGTTGCTATTGCTATGTTGTAATAAAAAAAATCAGCATTGGAATTTGCTTCAATTACTGTGAAGTAAACTTAGAGTTCTTTGTATAATAACTTCACTAATTACATTCATTTTCCACAGGATTACATCAGAAAGGTGTGTTGCATAATTTGAATTATGATTTTTTCCCCCTCAGATGTACCATATAAACCAAAATAAGGAAAAAAAATATACTTTGGAGCATCAATCAACCTCTTAGTCTATCAGTAATAAAAAATACAACCTTTATTCTTCCTTCTTAGGCTTTTAAAGGGTTTATTGTATTATTTAGCAGTTTCCATATTTTTACTCTGACTAGCATTAAAATCCTTGTAGCTTCATGTGTTGGCCAGCTATGTATCTCTTGAGAAAGAGAGAACAAAAGGATTGAGTTTTAAAAGATTCTCTTGCTACAAATAATTGTCTTTTAGCGCTGTCGTATGAATGAAAATTCTGGGTCTGACTACATCCAGGCTTGGAAATTGTCTGAAGTTACTGATGGAGGTGGAATTGGTTGTGTGGAAGAAAGCAAAGATGTGCGTTTTGCTCCAGGAGACTTTGTGACATCCTTTACCTGGCCCTGGCAGACCAAAGCCATTTTAGATGGAAAGCAACTGAACAAGGTAACATTTTGTCACTTCTTTCCATTTCCTTTGGAGAAAAACAGTATAGACAAATGTGCCCTGACCTCTAGCAATATGAGGTTAAAGACTATGAATATTCATGGGGAGGGAATAGAATGGAGGCATGTAATGACTGTCACAGGAGCAAGTATATAATAGCAACATCTATGTGATGATGTTACAGCAGTTTATTGAGAACACCACTGTCAAAGAACAACCCCCACCATTTTCTATCATTTGTACAGTTGCCTATGGCACAGCATCCAATGTGGTACCAGAAATGTGATTTTTTTAGCTCATTACCAAAGGAACAAGGTTGTACTTGTTATAAAGATAATTTTTGGCTCTGTGTGTGCCTTTGAGTCAGGTGTTTGTTTTTTTTTTGGTTTTTTTTTTTTGAGTTCTGACAACTGCCTAAACAATTTCTGCAGTTTTCTTTCCACATTTTCAGAAGTGGTTAGCCACTGCCTGCTTCATAGAGCTAAGAGAGAATGACTGGTCCAACTACCAAGGTAGCTTCATATCTAAGGCAGGGTTAGAACTCATAGTCTCTTGGTTTCTAGTGTGATGCCTTAACCACTGTACTAAACTGAGTTCAAATAGGACCCCAAAACTCAAAAAAAAAAAAAAGACAAAAAATATCGACTAATCTTTTGATTGAACCTTTCCAAAAGAATCCAACCAAAAAATCAGAATGTATCTTGTCTAGAATGATAATGCTTAATTAATTCCATCTTTGAAACCCTTTTTTTCTTCAGATTGATCCACAACTTGTAGACGGACATCTTTCCTATTTCCTGGGTGCAGCTGGCTTGACTGGGCTGACATCTTTGCTGGGAATCAGAGAGAAAGGACATGTATCTCCAGGCTCCAATCAAACCATGGTTGTCAGTGGAGCTGCTGGTGCTTGTGGCTCTCTGGCTGGGCCGGTAAAACAGTATAAACTCAGTCTTAAGGGTTGTTGTTAGAGATGAGGTTATTCTGCCTATGAATCTCAAAATTCATATTATTTGGCCCTACGGAAGCCACTATATTTTTTCCTATACCTCAGAAATAGGCAGACTTTATCATGGGATATATATCAGGGGTGAAATGCTCCCGGTTCGGACTGGATCGCCCAATCCGGTAGCGATGGAGGCGGGTGGTTTGGAGAACCGGTAGCAAAAATCCCTGTCCCCTCCCATGCCCAGCTGAGCCGCGCGATCATCAGAGACTTTTTTTCTTTTAAATGCCTCTGCGGATCCAACCTGAGTTACCTGATCGGCAGAGGCTTTTTGAAAAAGCCTGTCAATCAGGCAACTCAGCTTGGATCATCAGAGGCATTTAGAAGAAAAAAAGCTTCTGATGATCAGGCAACTCAGTTTGGATCATCAGAGGCATAAACGCCTCTGACGATCCAAGCTGACGATCCAAGCTGAGTTGCCTGATCATCAAGCTGAGTTTGATGATCCAAGCTGACGATCCAAGTTGAGTTGCCTGATCAGCAGAGGCATTTAAAAGAAAAAAAGCCTCTGACAATCAGGCAACTCAGCTGAGATCGTCAGAGCCTTTTGAAAGCATTTTTTTTACAACCTCTTCACTGAAGAGGTTGTAGAAAAAATGGTTTTAAAAGTTTTTTAAAGATGGCCACGCCCACCCAGTCACATTACCCCCAAGCCACGCCCACAGAACTGGTAGTAACAAATTTTAGATTTCACCACTGATATATATGCTGCATCTAGTCCCCCCTGCCCCTGAAATGGGTTTGACTTATTTGGGGGAAAGCCTGGAGACATCGTTTAAAGATACAAGTGTATCCTAAGCTTTGCAGAGGTAAAAGTGCCCATTTTATCTTGAAATCATCTCTGGTTCCAATCAAGCCAATATTCCCAGTTTTGGGAAGACTTGGGAGCATGGGTGCAAGTCTTAACACCGTTTCAGAACTCTCCAAACCAAAGAAAAAGGTCTAAAGATTTTGGCCTCATCCTTTCTATAAGTTCATGACATCACTAGTCACACCCCCTGTGGTCCTTAGGAGCCTTTATTTTATCCTTTTTTAAGTTAAAAGTTTTTTAAAAGTACTGACTTTAATCCCCAAATTAAGCATTTAGTCTTGCTTCCACCTCACATGCTATGTGGAATAGGAAGACACCTTCTATAAGAGCCAACAGTCTCTTCTTGTTGCTGATGGATGTGAGAATTGCTGCTTTCATTTGAGACTATGACAAAGAAGGGCAGTGAGTTAAAAGATACTTTTAACCATTCCATGATTATTGTCCAGTTTTGTCTTCTCTCCCTCTTCTGGCACCGTGAGAGAAAAGATGCATATAATGATTATTTTGTAACTGACAGAAAATATAGATTCATTTAAAAAAAAACACACACACACACACACAACCCTTGTGCTGCAAGATCAATGATTGCAAAAAACTGACCTTTTTGTAATGGTTTTCTGCTTTCAAAGATAGGTCTCCTGGAGGGCTGTTCTAAAGTAGTCGGCATTTGTGGCACAGATGAAAAATGCAAAATTTTGGTCTCTGAAATGGGTTTTGATGCTGCAATCAACTATAAGAAAGAGAATGTGGCACAGCAGCTGCACAAATTTTGCCCGGATGGAGTGGATATCTACTTTGACAATGTTGGTGGAGACATCAGTGATACAGTAATAAGACAAGTGAGTGCGCTGCATCTACTTTTGACTCTGTTCAGGCATTTATGTGGGTGCAGGAAGGGGGCAAGGTGCAGAGAAAAAAAATACCACGTTTAGTCCCACTCCTGCTCCCTACATTAAACTTGTTTTGGCTTTAATATGATCCACAGGATCTAGGCCCCAAATATTGCAGGGACCCAGATAGCTGGAAACTGGAGAAAGGGCAGGAACATATGCTTTTCTTTTCTCTCCTCATTTTGAGCTCCCCATGAGTCCTTTTGCTGGTCCAGGATGCAGTAGTGTGAGAAATCATGGATGCATAAAGCAAAATTAGGTTGGCAAAGCATTCATATAATCAAATCGCCAACTTTTCTACCCCAGGATATAACTTCTCACAAAACTACACTTGCGTAAGATAGAATTAGTTTTCCGTTCAGGAAAGCTGAAATGGTTTTGGACTCTTAAGACACTTTCTAATATAATTGTTTACCTAAAATTTGGCAGATAAATATGAGCAGTTAATCTGAGATAACACTATTTATTTTTCCAGATTGTAAAGTAGTACGGGATCTAATATTTGTTGGAATATAGGTTCCTAAAAACTGAGCAGTGTCTTTTATATTGTTCTATCACTTTTCTGGAGTTCTGTTAGTCAAGAAACTTGACACAAGATGCTTATTACCTACGTATTTTTAATTTTATGGTTCTTGTCCACTCTGATTTCCAACCAATGAATTCAAAGATCTTTTTCATCAAATTGCAGTACGTTCCTTCCCTGCATTTTGTTTGACTTTTGTTTGGCTGAAACCTTTTTTCTTTCTTTTATTTAATTCACTTCTATTCTCATCCAAATTAAGTGGTGTAAGTGGTCTTTATCACATCATATTTGGTATCTGAGGCATACTTAAAAGTCTGGTCAAAGTGATAATGTGACACACATGACTATGTTTGCGTGACATGTTACACACAGACTAATAAGTAGCATGAAGCCAATCTACCCTGTTTCCCCCAAAATAAGACATCCCCTGATAATAAACCCAATCGGGCTTTTGAGTGCATGGCAATAAGGCCAAGCGCTTATTTCAGGGTTCAAAAAAATATAAGACAGGGTCTTATTTTCGGGGAAATACGGTAGTGATACCAAAACAATTGGATTTATTTAATAAACTGTATTTAAGTTAATCATAGTAAATATGCTGTTGCACATATACTGCATTTATGGTTTTACTGTAATCACATCCATAACAAACCATGATAACATAAAAGTGATACGTCTGATTATATCATTACATAGTGTAGAAGCTGTAATTACACATTTGCATTATGATATGCAATGCAAGAATAACCATAATGATGTAAGGGGTCATCACTTGTCCCTTTTCCCCATATCATGGATGCCCATGCAGTATACAATAACTGAGATGAATAGCATTTTGACTCTTTTTTTCTTTAGTCTTATTTTTCCTGTAGATGAATAAATGAAACATATTGCTGGTTGCTGCAACAGAATGTAGGCCAGACAAATGGGATGTTCTTCTGCACTGTTTCAGTACATATAATAAAAACACACTGTTCTTTTAACGGCTCTCTTAGTCAGCCCCTTGCTGTTTAATGTTCTATGGCAATTCTGTTGCACAGTTTTCAGACTGTGCTTCCAGGAGAGCCAAAGTGCTTTGGCCAGCAGCACTTTGCTAAGGTAGGAACTATAGGTAAAGGCCAGTGTAAATCAAAGCCTGTCCCTCTTGGGAAAGTCTAGCTGTCGATTCTCAGAACAGTACTTATCACCCTTATGCACCAACTTGCAGACAGGGAGTAGAAGATCACTCAGGAAGTTTTAGCAAATGTACTTGTCACATTATGACTTTAGTTCTTACATATACTTTGACTGAAAATGACAGAAAGCTCATTTACTCCTTCCATCATACCCTTTTTTGCCTCCTTGCTCCAAGGCTTTTGAGAATCCCATGCATTTTTCTCTATTTTCTAACGGCAGCTGTGCTTCCAGCATACTTTCTACTAGTTCTTATCTGCAGAATGTAGTGTAACTTGTCTCTGTCCCTGGAAGTGAACTGTGGGCAGTAAGGGCTTTGTTATTAGTGCAAACAAAAAATGGTTAGACAGATTCCTTTCTACCTAAAGCAACGGTCCTAAGCCTTTTAGGCTCTATGGACCAGCGGTGGAAGCGGCAAGGGGAAAGAGGATAGTTTTGCCTGTGCGCACACTGCTTGCGCAAATGCAGCTTCGCATGCTCCCCACCGCTTGGGTTCCCAACAGGCTGCAGCCCAGTATTGGATCGTGGACCGGGGTGGGTGGGTGGGTTGGGAACTCCTGACCTAAAGGATACATCTTCTAAGAGCCATAAACAGGACTAATATATCTGAATGATACCTAGGTGGCGCAAACAGTTAAAAGATTTGTTTCTTTGCTGCTATCTAGTGGTCATTCACATTTTTGAAGATCAGATATGACAATTCCATGCTTGGATATTTTTTTGACATTTTACATTTGTCCAGCTGAATTAAATCCTTCCAATTTTTAAAAAGATAAGTTTAAAATACAGTAGTGAATATATTGAGTTGGCAAATATGCAGTTTGAATTGTTATATAAAAGAATAAGTGAAAAAAGAATGTACTCTCACAGCTTTGTTTTCTTTTTTTTTCTTTTTTCTTTTTTAAATTATTTATTTAAAAATACAAACAGAACAAAACAAGTAACAACAAAACATACAGAACATGTAAACAAAAATTCAATATACATCTTATCTTATCTTATCACAGCTTTGTTTTCTATGGGCAATTCCTGGAACACTTTACAGGATCTTCTATAACATGCAGAGAAGCTGGATTTTGGTGTATAAGGTCTTAAGAATCATAAATATGAAAGAATGCTATTGTTGTGAACCATTCCATCTCAGTTAGTTATAGACTGAATGTCTAACTTTCCCATCCGTAATATTGGTAAAAAATACTCTTAAGAAATACAAACTGCAATACCGTATTGTCTTCTTGTTTCCAACAGATGAATTCAAATAGCCATATTATTTTATGTGGTCAGATCTCCCAATATAACAAGGACGTGCAGTACCCACCTCCTTTACCTCCAGATGTAGAAGAAATAAGGAAATCACGGAACATTACTAGGTATTCCTCATTGGCTTAGTCCTCCAAATGAAACACTGAATAAAATCTGCCAAAATATGTGAATGCTTTTTTTTTTTAAGTTCCAAAAATTCCCTTTCTAGATTGATGAAGCATCTATGAAACAAGTTAACTCAAATAATTACTGGAGTTGAACTTGCAGCTTTACAGAAAACTTTTGTCAGAGGACTATCAGTGAGAAAGCTCTTTGATAGAAAAAGAAAATGGGAAGACTGATTTCCATATATACCGAGGGAAATTGGAGTTGGAACTACAATAACAAATATAAGCTAATATAAAACTTTATCAGTGGATAAATGTGACATGCTTCCAGTAGCTCTCTTAAATCATCATGCCTTTGAGTCTTACTGACTAGAGCAGGGGTCAGCAACCTGCAGCCCTGGAGCCGCATGTGGCTCTTTCACCCCTCTGCTATGGCTTCCTGTCACTCAAAATGTGTGTCACAACAACCAATGTGCGACACCCGCCGGCATGCGATTTATTGAGCTTTTCAACCCCCTAGTAGGCCAACCATGGATAAATCCAAGAAAAGAAAAGTTTCAGAAGAAAACAGAATGTTTAATTCAACTACTTATGCTAATTTTGTGGCCGCTCAAGAAATAGTTAGGCACCGGAAGTGTTTTGTGGCTCCCGGTGTTTTCTTTTCTAAGGGAAACGGGTCCAAATGGCTCTTTGAGTGTTTAAGGTTACAGACCCCTGGACTAGAGAATGAGAAACAATTTTGTGCTTTATTTGCACATTCCAAAGCTTCATGTGTTACCTGAGAAGATGAGGGCATTTAACAGATATTTGATCAGAAATTTAAAATAACAGTAACAGTAACAGAGTTGGAAGGGACCTTGGAGGTCATCTAATCCAACCCCCTGCTCATGTAGGAGACTTGTACTAGGGATTCAAACCGCCGAACTGCCGACCTTTCTGATCGAAAATAAAAATGATGCAGCAGTATGCTGGTCCACTCTTTCTCAGTCTGGTGTTTTTTTATATGAATTGTATTAGAATACTCCATTGTTCCAGTGAGATTAGAACAGTGATTATTCAATTATTCTATTGCATTGGAAAGTTAATTATCCTCTGTTTGGAAATGTGTCTTTTGGAGTAGGCAAAGGATGGGCACTAAATTCACGTTGTGTCAGCTTTGAAATGGCAGAGATGTAAAGGTTCTAGTGTCCCAATAGGCTAAAATATAATTTCAGATGAACCATTTACACTGTTAAAATACTAGACCCGGGATGGCGAACCTATGGCATGCGTGCCACAGGTGGCACGTGGAGCCATATTGGTGGGCACATGAGCGTTGCCCTAGCTCAGCTCCAGCACTCATGCACATGCTGGCCAGCTGATTTTTGGGCCTTCTGGGCCCACCGGAAGTCAGCAAATGGGCTGTTTCCAGCCTCCAGAGGGCCTCTGGGGGGGTGGGGATGGCTGTTTTCACCCTCCCCAGGCTCCCAGAAAGCCTCTGGAGCCTGGGGAGGGCAAAAGACAGGCCTACCGGGCTACCAGGCCATCACATGCCAAAAGCAAGGGGAGCATGGGAGGGTCGCGCGTGCATGGTGGGGGGGCAGGGCGCATAGAATTATGGGTGTGGGCACACGCACACGCGACCACCCCGCACTTCCCCAGCTTTTGGCACGCGATGGCAAAAAGGTTAGCCATCACTGTACTAGACCAATTGGATCATTTCCTGACTCTTTAAATTATGTTTGCTGTGCTTTGTTGCCATTTCTTTCTGCTGCAAGTAAGACAGAACATATTGCTTGTTTCCATCCATGACAAATTTGGTGAATTTTAAAATTGGGAGTTGTTTGATCTGCTGAAGAAATAATCTCCCTCAAGTTTATTTTGGACTATAACCTATTGAATTATTATGTATGTAACTGTAAATATTTTTCTGTAAACGATGGTTACAATTAGATTGGAAATGTAATTATTGCCCTAAGTGTTTTCTATGAGAATGGTAATTGTTCCCCTTTGCACATAAAATGGAATCAGAAAGGCATTTCAGAATGTTTTTAACATTTAACATTTGACTGCTGTGAGATGTCAATTTCATTCTTTACAGAGAAAGATTCCTGGTTTTGAACTACATGGAGAAATACTCAGCTAGTACTCTGCAGCTTTGTCAGTGGATCAAAGAAGGAAAATTGAAGGTATTATAAAAATCAATAGATAAATTGTTCATGGCTGCAAGCAATCATTTTCTTTCATTGACATTTTCTTTTCTCATTTGTTGGTGTTGCTGAAGCTGAATGAACAAATCCATTTCACCTTATCTACAATGAATAGAGATGCTTTTTAGAAATCATCTGATTAGGCGTTAACTATCCGAAGACCTGAGATTACAAAAGTTTTGTTTTGATAATTTTCAACTGTCTTTAATGAAAGAAAAAAAATACTAGATTGCATCAAAAGGGGAAAAAATAACCTTTAATGCTACTTTTTTTTAAAAAAAAAAAAACAGGTCAAGGAGACAGTCGTGGAAGGCTTAGAAAACATTGGAGGTAAGAGATGGTTTCTTTCTTTCGAGTGTATGTCCTTGATTAAAATATATCGATACAGGAAGGTCCCTTAGTTTATTTCTGGTTCAAACAGCAAAATTGTCTGACCCGAATCTGAATGCCATTGCCATTCACAGTTAAGGAATGCTAAATTTACTTCTTAATTAATGTGTTTACATTTAAACTGAATGTGTTTAAATGTTAAATCTGCTGAATCTAAATTCTGCAAAACTAATAGCTCTTAAAATATTGTCTTACTATCTTGGAGCATTTTAGAAAATTTAAAGAAGCAGCTGTTGTATGCTTCTTACATTATGAGTTTACAAGTAATTATCTGGCTTAATTTTATTTTTCACAGCAAATTCAACCTACCCAGCAATCAATAACCAACTCTTTATCACAGAATTTCTAGGGAGGTTATTAAGTTTTATTATATGTGAGTAGTCTTTATATAAGTGAACTGGAAAATTATATCCATAATTTCTGCTACAATCATTTGTTTTGGCATAAATTATGATGACAACAGTATTTTTAACAGCCATGCTGGGGAATGGAAGCTGAAATCCAATGTTGAATGCACCAGGTTGGAGAAGTCTGAGCAATCTAATTCTTACAAATATAGGTAGAATTGAGGATCAAACTAAAAATTAATTAATGTAAGGGATTTTATTTGCTGACCTTATATATCAAACGTTTGGCTTTTGTTTTGAAAAGAGAAAGGACCTGTATTACAACAACATGGAATTCAAATTACATCCTATTAAGACACCCATTACTATTTTCCATTGTCTACTTCGTTAAAAGACAATTCTCCCTTAAGGGATTTTTGTTAGACAGTGTTCTGTCCCCGTCCCACACACGCACACAAACAGACAGCCGAGGGTTAAATAAACTAGCAGACAACCAATTCTTCCGATAAGACGCTTGGCAGCAACCCAGTAGCTACTTACCAAGAACTTTTACTCAATAAACAAAATACACACAGTCAAGAATTGTCCATTTCGTAAAATAAATCCAAGGCCGATAATGTTGTTTCCAAAGATGCAATGTGACTCGATAGTAATTAGTTTTGTTCGTCACAGAGTCTGAATGGCTACCTCACCCCCTTTTATATCCTGTGGGGTGTTGTCCAGTGACTCAGCCTAATCTCTGGCACGCCTTTTCTTCTGTTGCGCGCGCTTATCTCTGCAACGCTGCCGAGGATCCAGCCAAGACTCATTACCCTCATCACTGTCCACCTGTGGCTGCGTGGATGTGCTTGGCCCCGGCCCTATCTCTTGCCCTTCGGCGGACACCGAAGGCATTGCCAGAGAAGAGGGTCCTGGAGAGGGAGGCCTTGCCAACTCCTCTCCTCCACTCTCGGAGTCCTCTCCTGCCGATGACACAGGCTCAGGTAATGGAGCCACAACAGACAGTAGACAAAGGTTTTCAGTTCATCCTTTACCAAATTGTGAACTTTTCTTTTGTGAGACTTACACTTTTAAAATATTGATATCCTTTCTCCTCAATCAAGGTAATTTACATACAAAAGAATATATAATAGAAGTAAGCCAATAGACAAACAACAGGTAGTCCTCGACTTACAACAGTTCATTTAGTGACTGTTCGAAGTTACAACAGGATTGAAAAGTGACATGACTGTTTTTCACACTTATGATCATTGCAGCATCCCGGTGGTCATGTGATCAAATCTGGGTGCTTGGCCACTGGTTCATATTTATGACGGTTGCAGTTTCCTAGAGTCATGTGATCACCTCCTGTGATCTTCTGACAAGCAAAGTCAATGGGGAAGCCAGATTCTCTTAACAACCATATTATTAACTTAACAATTTCAGTGATTCAACTGTGGCAAGAAAAGTCATAACTTTTGACTTAACAACAGAAATGTTGAGCTCAATTCAAGGATTGCCCGTAATGATTCAATGCATTCCATCAAATCTGCATTCAAAGATCATGTAAAATGTATTATTATGGACATCCAGAAAGGAGAATGAAATCTTGGCCTCCATACATCACTTGAGAGCCTCAGGGCAATTGCAACAGCTGCTGGTTTTACCTCATGTCATGAGATAAAAACAAGAATTGGAGCTGATCAGAGGATCTTAAATACCATGAGAGGTCAAAGGTGTGATATAAGAATACTGAATTCAAGGCCACAATTCTGGAGGCCTTTAAAGATAAAGAGTTATCTTTAATTTGGCCTGAAGGAACTGAGAGAACTGTTGCAGTTATCACAGTTCTGGGGCTGTTTGAAAAGCCTGAAAGAAAAGGGGAGAAAAAACTAGAGGAACTATGTAAATGTGAGAGAGAAAAGAAACTGAGAAAATATATAGGAAGATATATAGGAAGATATCTCCAAAGAAAAAAGAATGCTAATTGAAGAATGAAAAATTTTATTAAAAAAAGAAGACACATTTGTAGTTCTTCCAAAAAGCAGAGCCCTATGTGGGGAGGAGAGGATTTAGTCTACTATTGAGTAATACCGGAGGAATGTCAAGAAGAGGAGAACCAAAAATGTTCATGGAAGGAGGGAGTATAAAGAGTGCTTACAAAAAATTGAGTTACAAATTTTCACCCATATGAACAAAGCTTCTGCAACTCCAAGCCAGAAGGTCCTGGAAAGAAGGAGAAGGTGGGGAAGGACTGGTTTACTGCATGCTACATGTATACGCTAGGCAGCACCATTACACATTGGAAGGCTAAATTTACCCATTTTGGAGCTACCCTGTCCTGCCTTTTCACTGATCTTGTGGTTTAGTTTGCAGCGTTCTTCAATTTATGTGATGGGTAAAATAAAAATTCTATACGTTTTATACTTGGATTTACAAGTAGTTTCAATCTGTTCATAAGTAGAGGACTGCCTGTATTCCAAAATCAAAAATCCACATAAAGGCTAGAAGTTATTAAATAATTCTGAGCAATCAAGTGCTTGCATTATCATGCTATAACGATTGCACAAGAATTGTACCAGAATCAGCTGGTACAATTGCCATTGCTTTGCTTCAGCCTGGATCAGCCTCTGCCTGAGGCTAGTCTTTGAGATAAAATTGCTCATGCAGCCACATGAAAGAAAACACAGAGATTTAAAACTTGTACTGGCAAAGTTTTGATGAAAATTATTTCATCATACTGAAGTACTATTAGGTTGCAAAGGAGAGGAATGCCTATTTGTGTGGTCCTACATATATGCATATTTGTAGATTCAAGCTAATGGCATACTTCCGCCCTGAGTCCTGTTGGAGAAGGGTGGTATACAAATTAATTAATATAATAATAATAATAATAATAATAATAATAATAATAATAATAATAATAATAATAATACTTCCAATTATAGCAAATCCATGTTATCTGGACAAAATGGAACTCATATGTAGACAATGGATTTCTCATTGTCTACGTATAGGATTTGTTTAAACTATCCAGTTTAGTCTACACTTTCCAAATAGGTTTCCATTTATTTATTAACCAGATCTAAGCCTCCTTAGTTTTTTCAGGTCCAGTGAATATAGGCTCGTGCTGCTACTTGTACATTAGTGTATTAGAAGTATGCAGTATATAGAAATGAACTTCTGTGATACACTACCATACACTATATGAGCTAAATCAAGTGCTTTGTTGCTTTGAAAACAAGTTGCCTCTATCACCATAAACAAACTTGTCAGCCTGAATACAGATTGCCTGCCTTTATTATTTTTATAACAACTCAAGGCAGTGATATTCCAGCAGCCAACCTGTGAGGTGAGTTGGGTTGAGAATGAGCAACTTATCCAAAGCTAGCTTTTCCTGGCTAAGGTAAGATCTCACAGTCTCCTGGCCTCTAGCCTGGTGCTTTAATCACTAGATTAAACTGGCTGTCTTTAAAGCCATGGGCTGATTATTGAAGGAAAAGTAACGTTATTTTGTACATTTAAGTCAATTCAGAAAGTGTTTGTATTTAAAATTAAAACACCAATGTAAAGTATTTCAGCTTTTGAATGATTTCAACTTTTTTTCTCTTACAGCTGCTTTCGTGTCTATGATGAGTGGAGGCAACATTGGAAAACAGATAGTGCTTGTTTCCAAATAAAAACCACTTCTGATCTATTTTGTGTCTACCAAGTAAAGAAATATTTGCATAAGCCTGGAATGAATTTATCCTTTATATCTGTATCCCATTTTGGGGATTAGTAAAATCTTTTGAATCTCTTAATTTTTTTCTAAGTTCTTTTGGGGGGTTTTCTTCTATTTCTTCGAGAAATTTTTCCCAGTCAAAATGTGTTTCCTAGCCTTTAGTAACAAATGATAAAATATTGCTGAACCACTGCTACAGAAATATAAACTACGTGCATATAATATAAAACCAAAATTAGTTTTAGCTGTTTGAACAAATGTTTGCAAGCAAATTATGTCTTATTTGATCATATATTTCTAATTTGGTTTTCTTCTGCCTTTGTTAATACCTAGGCAACAATTTCCTAATAACACTATAGTAGTATTTCTCAGTTTGAAGATAAATGTAAGCCATAGTTGAAGCAGCTAGGATTTGGTAACCAACTTCAAAATTTTAAAGTTTTAAAAAAATAAACCATGGCTAACATCCTGGAAGTAAACAAACCAATTAAGGCATACCATATACTGATTTATGTCCTGGAATGTATAAGCCAGGCTCTAATCATTACTGAAAGTGAAACAATAATGAGAATCTTTTCTTGAACACAATACAACTATTAAAATGTATTTGTTAATGTAATTTTCTGACTTGGACACTTTTCTATGACACTGTTCTTTCTGATGCATTAATAGTGAATGCTTTTAGCTGCTTCTATTTTCCGTAACATTTCACAGTTACATACATTTATGTAAATTAGAACACTAAACAAAAGGAGACATTTCCTAATTGTACGACTAAGTCATGAGATAAAAAAACCCCTTCCTTACACTTTATGTCCAAATGTTCCAGCTTGCCAAATCCAATGTAGCCCAATGACCATGAGAATTATTACAAAGGAAGAACCCCTTCTTTGAATTTCCTCATGATAAGGAAAAAATGTGGTAGGAAAACTTTTAATAATTGGTGACTCGAAAGTTTACAGCAAAACCTGTTCCATGCACTGCATATCCTTTCTGTGGGTTTTTCACTGTCAGGTAAACAAGAAAGTAGCAAACAAGGCATCTGCAGAAACAGCACTGTATTACTAATACAAGTAGTCCTCGACTTATGACAATTGAGCCCAAAAATTACATTGTTGAGCGAGACAAATGAGTTTTGTCCCATTTTTTGATCATTCTTGCCACAGTTGTTAACTGAATCACTGCAATTGTTAAGTTAGCAACACGGTTGTTTAGTGAATCTGGGTTCTCCATTGACTTTTCATGTCAGAAGGTTGCAAAAGTTGATCACATGACCCCAGGACACTGCAACCATCATGAGTCAGTTGCCAAGCGTCTGAATTTTGATCACATAACCATGGAGATGCTCAACAGTCATAAGTGTGAAAAATGGTCATAAGTCACTTTTTTCAGCTGTTGTAACTTCAAACAATCACTAAATGAACTGTTGTAACTCAAAGACTACCTGTACTCCAGTAGGAATTTTTTACCCTGCAATTCTTACATACTTATCTGAATCAACTCCTAGTGAATTCTGTACAAATTACTTTTAAGCAGTGGTGAAATCCATTTTTTTTTACTACTGGTTCTGTGGGCATGGCTTGGTGGCTGTGGTATGGCTTGGTGGGCGTGACTTGGCGTGACAGAAAGATACTGCAAAATCCCCATTCCCTCCCTACTCCAAGGAGAAAGATATTGCAAAATCTCCATTCCCACCCCACTGAGGCCAGCCAGAGGTGGTATTTGCCAGTTCTCCGAACTACTCAAAATTTCCACTACCGGTTCTCCTGAACCTGTCATTTCCGCTACCAGTTCTCCAGAACCTGCTGAATTTCACCCCTGAAGACAATCCTATCCAGGTTTATCCAATATTACTTCTAGATTGGGGGAAAGCATATCTCCAAATTCAGGCTGGAGGGAAATAATAGGCAGAGAGGGTTGTGTGTAGACATGAGAATGGTTGTATGTATCAACACGTTAACATTTTCAGAGAAGACGGAAAAATGTTAGCAAATACAAGATTGGAATAAATAGTACACCAAAGCATTTTATTACAACAGAGACAAATTATGGAATTTGAAAAAAATATTGATTAAAAAGAAATAAAAGTGCAATGTATATTCAGACATAGCCCATACATGTTATTAAATTAACAATGGGGCACAAACCAGAGGCAATATTTGTATATTTATTGCGTGTGCATTAGAAGAAAAAATGGCTGAGGCAAACTCCTTTACATTACACATACATAGTTCCAGCCATATCATGTGCAAGATTATATAGAGTCTTATAACTACATCTCTTGAATTATTTTCAGTAAACATATAAACATGCTGTAACTTGACCCATCAGCCATACCCATCCTAATCATAAACTCTGAATCCTGGAAGCATCAGGCCAGTTATTGATTATGGCATAAGATAAATTGCCTTGGACATTTAGAGACAGACTTCTGCAAGGTTTAGCCATTGTCAGTAGGTGCTCATTTCACATGTCTAGTTCTATAATTGACTCATTTTTATATAAGTATAGCATACACTTAACTGTATTTTTCGCATTCATTTTTTTAACAAGATGCAGCACATTCTATTTTCTTACTGATTATCTCAGTTCCTGCATAACAAAACTGAAGAACACATTTTATTTCAATCTCATTGTGATCTCATTCAGCATAATAGTTATGAACCAAGAAAATCAGCAATATTCCACAGCAACAGATTGCTAATAGGCTACATTGATCTGTTAAGTAATACATATGCAGCATTAATACTGGCAATAATCCAGAAAGCTTTGCAAGAAATTATGTGCATTTTAGTGGATTCCTGCCTATCTGAAATTACTAGAGGAAACCAGCAGGAATTTGACATAAAGCTATCTTCCATATGCAAGCGTGCAGAAGGCACAAACATTTTCATCTGAATTCATATATTAAACCATAGCTTTTACATGTATGGTTTGCTTAAGCATTAATTATTTGGGGGAAAAACCACTATTTGTTAAATTCACACAATATGCTAAATCAAAATAAAACAGTTTGATTTTAATTCGGTTTATAAGCCACATGGCCAAGTTTGCACAGCATACTCTGACTCTGAAGACAGATGGGAAGTAGAGAGGAGCTTCCTGAAGCAAAGGCAATGCCTTTCATTAACTCTGATTACGAGTCTTAACGGGCACGTCCATTGCAATCATTTGGGCATATTAACAACTCAGAAATTACAGACTCTGTTATAAATACTATCCAAAGCAATTATATCATTTTTTCTTGTCATGAAATCCGTTACACTACAATATATATAAACAAAGACTACAGAACTTTTGTTAAAACCCAGGGTAGTTTGAAAAACATTTTTTTAAAAAATGGAGGCTGGAGTTGGGGAAAGGACTGAATTTGAAAAGGAAAGTGGGCAAAGGTGATTGACGTGACTTAACAGGCCTTCAATTAGGGCTGAATAAATTGCTATTCAGCAAAGGGCAAATATTCCCATGTTTAGATAAATCATCTGATAAAGAAACAAAAGTAGAAACAATTACAAAACATTACAATAGTCCATAAATTTTGTCTAGCATTAAAACAGTATGATGTCAAGCTCAGTATCAATGTAAATATAATAAGAAAGCAGTTCCTGAGGCAAATAGTGTCACTTTTTTCTAAAAGTTTTATTACAGAGCAGCACAGAAGGGGTTTGATGGCAATCCTGAACCTTCATGATCCATTGTCTATGCAATCAGAACATAAGACATTCAACTGGAAATAGTTCACAGCTTTATCACTTAACAGTTTAAGTGATTGTATACTTCAGGCTCCGGAAAAAAGGAAGCATCAGGAAGTTTGGTAGTTCTTCATATCTGCAATAAAGGTTCTCAGCAAAATAGATTCCATTGCCCAAATTCTGTAGACCAGGAAGAGGGTTAGTGCAACAACCCAAGTTCTCATTGGAGAGAGAAAAAAAGAAAGAGTTCCATATGTCTTCAGTAAGAAGTAACAGGAAAAGACTTGCCAGAAAAATAGAAGTGACATGATTAAATGGATGGGCACAGTCCAATATGGTTTGATAAGATACAGATGAGAATGAAAACACTGGCCTTGGCAACGTAGCAATAGGCACCAACAGGTGTACGCCATCAGTGGTAGGTTGAAAAATAACACCTATCAAACAAAAACATTCTCAGAGCACATGCAGAAATATAAATACATAAAATTACTCCGAACACTTGACACATGAAGCCATAAATAAAATGCACATATAGTAGATCTGTAAAGGTATATACTAGGAATGACAGGCTGTAACTTTACAATAAAGTAATATTAGCTCATCTGGCCATGTTCCTTCTCTGGTCTTCCTTGCATGACTGACAAGATCTCAGCCTCATATAGCAAGGTTTCATCTAAGTATAGTAACTAAGCTGTAACTAAGCTGGTAACTAAGCAAACTAGCAAATTTGACAACAAATAGCCACTTTCTTCCTGGAACACTTTTAAAACATTGCCCTACCTAAATTTTATCTTTCAGTTTTGTACACTATGAACTTAAGAATCTTACAATAAGCTGAAAAGCATCAATTTTTAAAAAAATTGTACCCTCACATATTAAACAATATGTTATACACTTCAGTGGGAGAACACTTGTGGATTTAGCACATTCTGAAAACGGTTGATCACATGTTTTTTTTAAAAATTGATGAATTTATTGTCAAACAGTGGGGAATTAAAAAATACTTGTGAAAGAGAAGCTCATTCAGATTTCTCAGCAGGAAGTTCTATTGATCACTACAAACATGTAGAGGGTGCTGTGGGCCCATGGCAGGAAACTAGCCTACATCAGTGGTTTTCAAACTTGGCTACTTTAAGATGTGTAGCTGTGGACTTCAATTCTGGGAGTTGAAGTCCTCATATCTTAAAGTTGCCGAGTTTGGGGAAAAATGACTTATCAATAAAGGAGAATATTTGTAACTCAGAATTGAAATGAGGGGCCCTTGGTGCTTTCTGAGTTTGGTTGTTTTCTTGTACACGTTTCATTATCCAAACTAGGTAATGATGTTATGATGTTTCCTTGTTTGGGTAATGAAACATCTGCTCAGAGAGCACCAAGGATCCCT